TTTTGGTTGTTCTACCACCAAAGAACAACCCAAACTAAATTCTTCTGCTCCTGACAATTGCAACAATATCACATATAGCATGTGTATGTTATTTGTTGTTTGTATCCATAGTAAGGCTCAGAAACAATAGTGTGTACTTTGCTATTCTTTAGTCTTCCTAAAACACAATGACAATGACACTAACACTAACTGAAATGAATAATACATTTAAAAATGCTCTTTTTTTAACCCAAAACACTCTAACCATGACTTTTGACCCTAACTCTAACCCTGACCTAGAACCTGATCTAGCTATTTTAGCATTTATTTATTATAATTATTTTGTTTTCCTTTTTTACACCCACTTTTTTTGTTTACTATTTCCTCCTCTAGCAAGGAGAACAAGAGACAATGTATTTTTTCTCCATTCAAGAGGAGAAAACAACACAGGGGCAGGCTGTACAGTGCACAAAAAATGGAAACCATCCCAAAATATAACCAGCCTTAGTAGTAAGGTGCACATGGAAGGGCAATGACGCATTGCAAACAAAGAAAGGATTTCCCAGCAACACTTACCAGCCAGCCTGCAAAACAATCAATTGTTTGTTTGCAGGCTGTACAGTGACTGAGCCAATCTGAGGCTATCACAATAGTCAGGTGATTGAGAATTGGGCCTCCTGGTTCCTGATTGGTACGGCGCATGTACACTGCAGCTGCTAAACTGAAGTTTTTTTCAGCAGCCCCTGAACTCTCCTTTATGTTTTCCTATGTGTCCATGTACACATAGTCATTTACAGGCAGTTGAGGTTACAGGTTTTTTTTTTAAAGCCCAAAAATCGCATTCAGGAGTAGAGTTTACTGCTGTTTCAAATGCCAAACACTTGTAACCGCGTGTGAACGCTTGTAAATGCATGTAAACGCGCTTATGCACATTTGCATTTAGGCACGTTTTTGGGCTGGTCCATATCCAGATGCTCAGAAGAAACTGAAATAGTACAAATGGACTTTATAGGCACAAAGACTAGGTACACGTATATAAATAAATTCATTATCACTTTATTTGTCATTATGTCACATATAGACCTTAGTATTAAAAACCTATTTGGTAATATCCCCGCAAATAATGTCCCAGAGCCCACCATGTTACCAAATAGGTTTTTAATATACTATGGTCTATACCTGACATAATGACAAATAAAGTGATATTGAATTTATTTATACGTGTACCTAGTCTTTGTGCCTATAAAGTCCATTTGTAGTATTTCTGTTTCTTCTGCCTAAATAAAATCAGGACGTGGCACTGGTGTATATATTGGGAGTGACCCTTCACCCAAGGGAACCCCAAAACCCCCCCTTGTTATTCAACCATATCTAGATGCTGCCCATAGCCTTTTTTCTTCATCAAAAATGCAAGCAAAGCATTTTACATGTATTCAAATGACCGCATAAACACAGCAACAGATTTATACTGCCCCACAGATAAAGACCCACTTCCGTGAGACCACAAATATTTATACATTCATCAGGAAAAGGTAAGGACAAACTATAGTGTGTTATGTATGAGAATATATTTTTATGTTTTTTTGTTTTTTTTTATAATGGCAGTGTTTACCATAATTTGTATATAAAGCTGAATCATTTATATTTCAGTTTTGGATAGGGTGGGGAATACTCAAAGCCTTTTTAAGCCCCAAAACAAACATTTAATATAGTCACTCAGCAGTCCTCAGAAGTGGTGGCTGCATTTGTTTCAGTGCTATTTTCATTTATTTTCACCTTGTAATCTTGCAAATAATACAATTTCTGTCCTATGGTGCACACACTCATCAACTTTACAAACACTTTTTTCTCTCTGCCTTCCATGGGGGGGGGCAAGAGAATTTGTTTATTAAAGAAGAAAGATAATATTGCTGCATATATGAGTTCAGATCATAGAACATGACAAGGACACTGCTTTTCTGTCAAGATCAACAGGCATTATCTGTACTTGCTAAAATGTTATTGAAATGTCTGAAAAATTGAAAGTAATGCAGCCACCACATCTTCACACTTGTAAGCTGCAATATATCAAATGTTTGTTCTTCAGAATGGATATCTTTTAAGACCTCTGTCAGTTTTTTTGTGGCAAAGAGGGGTTGTGCCATCTTTGTCCCATTTGGGAGGTTTCCCTGTGTAGAAAGACAACAACAAAAATCTATTAACATGTGGGGCAATCAAAGGGTTAACTGTGTGCTGTGTGCCATTTGTAACTGTGTGGTTGTGTTTGTGCTTCACTGTAAGCACACTGCTATGCATGGCTGTGCTATACACAGCCATGCAAAACAGTGTTCAGGAGCTGACAGTTCTCCCCCCCATCGGAGATGCTCGGCAATCACCGGGCGCCGGTGAGTAATCACTAGCTGGGACCCGGTGATTGACAGCTGCGGCCGCCGAACGGCCTGCCCAGAGATGCAAAATCATGTATATATAAGTGATTTTGCGCACCCGTGCCACCATGTAGCAGTACTTCGGCTATACGGCAGACGGGAAGAGGTTAGAAAAAAAGGTTTAGATATCTTTATGATTCTTTATGATTTTCAAGTTAATGGCATCTTTTATTATTATCATTATTATTATACAGGATTTATATAGCGCCAACAGTTTGCTCAGCACTTTCTTTTGATTTCATACTGGTACCCAAAAAGACTAGTGATAATGATTTCAACAGCATCGCGAAGAGAGTAGAGATATATTGGGCAACCCATTAGGGGAGTTGTAAACAGGTAACAAACCACTAACATAGAGGTTGCTTTTTTTCAATTAGCCCAACCTGACTGGTAAACTTACACAGAGAGAACTGTAAGGCTCACCATTATGCAGACAACCAATTGTGAAGTAGAACCTGTAGGTGTGAACATTATGTTTAAAAAGCCTCTAGTCTTTCAGTAAATCAACCCATTGGGTGTTATTTACTAAAACTTCAGAATGCAAAAATGTGGTGCAGCAAAACATAGAAACCAATCAGCTTCAAGTTCAAACATTTTGAAAAAAAGTGTTTTTTTATACATTTTGCAAATAAATTATCTTTCTTCATAAATCTTAGCCAAAATGTATTCAGCTTTCTTTTTAGTAAAATAACCCAAATTAGTTTATAACCAAAAATTATAATTTTCAAACATTTTGTTTTACATTTTTATTTTATATTATTATCATACAGGATTTATATAGCGCCAACAGTTTGCGCAGCACTTTACAAATTTATGTTATTGGGTTTTTTTAACATACTGTTACCCTAGCAGTACAGTGTCACCACAGTGACTCTGTACTACTTGTGGGGGGTGATGAAGATTTTTTTTTTTATATACTGATTGCTTTTACACCCATAAAGGCTGTAAAAACAATAATTTCTCCTTCTCTCTAGCTGCATTCTTGCAGCCATTGAGAAATACTGTGTGAGCTGTGATTGGTCACAGCTTGTCACATGGTACAAGGCTGTTGTGAATAGCCTTGTACCATGTGACCTCTGTGATCATTTACAGATTTCACTAGTAGTAAGCAATGATGTCAGAAGTGACATCTTCCTTACTACTATTCATTGGCCAATCAGTGATCACATGATCGGGACCTCACACAGAGGTCCCTTATAGTGATCAGAGTTCCTCTGGACACAGCGGATCACAGTGCCGCAAGCTCCTAAGGAGTGAGCACAGGCAGGGAATATGGGAGGACGTTTATAAATGGCCACCCACTCCTGTACTGCTCTTGTCCAGCCGTTTATGTACTTGGGCCAGACAGGAAGTGGTTACCCTTTATGCTACTAGCATTAGTAAATGGATAGAAAAGTACTATTTATTTTTTAAAACTTTTTTTTTATATTTCTTCAGTTACTTCCTGATTTCTATGCCTAGGCAAATGATGTCATACATCCCAGGAGTCTTCAGGAGGGGAGGGTTATCAGCTTAGCCAATGCTCGACCGAAGACCAGATAGATTGCAGGAAGTAAATGCTACAAGAATCATCTGCCCTTACTTAAGATGGCCACTGCCAGAAATGCTAGGGGGTGTTTTTTTTAAAATGATTTCCCTGCAAAATTAAGCATGAAGATAGGGATGGATGGATGAGCTTGCTTTGAATACTAACAATGAATTAAATAGCATTTTTGATTTGTTGTGCTCAGATGCAGTGCAGTTCCACTTTAATTGAAAAAGCTGAAGTTAGATGCTGATTGGCTACCATGCACAGCTGCACCACATTTTGCACTCTCCAGCTTTGGTAAATAAACCCCAATGTGTTAATATCGTGAGATGATAAAAGCAATCTGTTGCATACAACAGATCCTACATACAACAGCACAATCCATTGTCTTGTAGTTAGCAGCAGTATGGTCATTCTGCCATGCGTACTCCTTCAGTTGGTCATTGGGCTGCCCGATCTATTAGATAATCACCTCAACAGCCAACTAAAGATCCACACTTAGCAAGCTAAATGTGAAGCAGTGGTTTGGCACTGTCAACCCCTAACAGGAAGTGTTATTATTGTCAGGGTCTCCAGGTAAGAAACTTTGCAACTGATTTACTAAATATTATTTGTTTAACCACTTGCCCTCCTGAGGATTTACCCCCCTTCCTGACTGGGCCATTTTTTGCTTTATGGTGCTGCGTTACTTTAACTGACAATTGCAAGGTCATACAACACTGCACCCAAATTAAATTTACGTCCCTTTTTTCCCATAAATTGAGCTTTCTTTTGGTGGTATTGATTGCCTGTGCGGTTTTTATTTTTTGCGCTATGAAAAAAAAAAGACCGACAATTTTGAGAAAAAAACAATATTTTTGACTTTTTACTATTAACAATGTCCAGTACAAAAAATAAAAAAATCAAATTTTGTCATAAACTAAAGCCAAAATGTATTCTGAAACATGTCTTTGCTAAAAAAAAAATCCCAATACGTGTGAATTAATTGGTTAACGTGAAAGTTTTAACGTTTACATTTAGCAGTATAGATACTGGAATTTTTTTTTTCTTACTAGTAATGTCGGCAATCAGTGACTTATAGCGGGACTGCGGGCCTGTGGTGGGCATTCTGACAATGAGGGAAACTGACTTGGTGTCACTGACATCCCCAAAGATCAGTTCTAAGTGCTAAAAGTGATCAGTGCTAAAAAAAAAAAGCACCGACACTGTGCTAATGGCACTGGGCAGGAAGGGGTTAACATGAGGGGCGATCAAAGGGTTAACTGTGTGCTGGGTGTGTTTTACTAGGGGGCTTTGTCAGTGCGCTTCACTTTAGGCACACTGCTTTGGATGCCTAAGCTGACAGGGAGGAGAACTGTTAGCAAAAAAAAACAGTTCTCCCCCCCCATTGGAGATCGTCGGAAATCCCCAGGCACCTGTAAGCCATGTATCGGGGTGGGCTCCCCAGGATACAGTGAAGTCACAAACAAGGAAAGCAACCCCAACACCAGCTTTTTGCCACAACAGAATTTTACTTAGATGTGGCAAATAAACACAACCACAAATGCTGGAAACATACAATAAATTTACATACACCCAGACCAAAGGCTGAGACCCTTGTGCTGCACAGCACGGCGCCTTCTGATGGATGAAGGTAGAAAGAGTAGTAATTTACCTACTGGCGAGCACAACTAAGCTGCCACACCTTACCTGTTATTACCCTAAAAGAGCAGGAATCAGTGTATGGGTGTACGGTGTGGGCTAGCCTGCAGTGCAGCACAACAGCTTACAATCTTACACAAATCTACAGTATTCCCTCTCCCATAACTGTCCTGTAGCACGTGCTCAGTATGGCATTAAAACATGGCGGAGGGAGCATCATGGTTTGGGGTTGCTTTGCTGCCTTAGGGCCTGGACGGATTGTTGTCATTGATGGGAAAATGAATTCCAGAGTTTATCAAGACATTTTGCAGAAAAACGTACGACCATCTGTCCGCCAACTGAATCTCCGCAGAGAATGGGTGATGCAACAGGACCAATGACCCAAAGCATACAAGTAATTCAACAAAACAATGGCTGCAACAGCACAGAATACGCCTTCTGGAGTGGCCCAGTCAGAGTCCTGACCTCAACCCGATTGAAATGCTGTGGCATGACCTTAAGAGAGCGATTCACACCAGACATCCCAAGAATATTGCTACACTGAAACAGTTTTGTGAAGAGGAGTGGTCCAAAAATTACTCCAGATCGTTGTGCAGGTCTGATCTACAACTACAGGAAACGTTTGGTTGAGGTTATTGCTGCCAAAGGAGGGTCAACCAGTTATTAAGTTCAAAGGTTCACATACTTTTTCCTCCCTGCACTGTGAATGTTTAATTTATGTGCAATTAAACCATGGGCAACATCTAATGTTTGTGTAGTATTATGTTCAGCAGACTGTGTTCTTCTATTGTTGTGACTTAGATGACGTTCAGAGAGCACATTTTATGCCCAATTCATGCAAAATATGCCACAATCATTGGTGGTTTGTGGCACTTTATTCACTCCTGCAATCCCATTATCATTGAGGCCATTAGCATGCCTCCTTCCTGCAGTGCTTATAAACAGTCAGCCTATTCACAACAGAGTTAGGGAAGCTTCCTCCATTGGACTGAATGAATGAATGGACTGAATGTTTGGGAACATCATAGTGTTTACACGTGTGATAGCTGTAATTGATTCACAGCCATCACAAGGTACAGAGCCACTGTGATTGGTTATGTACATCATGGCCAATTACTGGTGCAATGGCTGTCAGAGTATGAGTCTGAGAAATAGAATTTGTGTTTACGTGCACTATGCTTTTCTACATAGGGGGTGGGGGTCTACAAGATAAACAGACCTTACATTTTGATTTAAGGGTTGCTTTAATATGGCTGAGATTGCACGTTTAAAGTCTTTGGTACTTGCACATTATGTTTCTAAATGCCTATTATTAGAACAAACAAAAACATTGTCATTCAGCTCCTGTGGAAATGTACAATTTTATTTCAGTGTTTGTGTTGTAAGCACTTTAGAAAATGTCTGTAACTGAAGAGGCAGAGAGCTCGTTGATTGCATGGTGGACTGTTAGATGGATCCCCCCCCCCCCCCCCCTCCACTCTTTTTTTTTTCTTGTCTCTTATACTTGATGTTGCAGACAATAAAATCAGTACCTATAAGCCTGACAGGTTATCATGGAGATTTAAGGATACATTTTCTTATTTTGCTCAACAGCTCCTTAAAGCTAGCTATGCATTTTCAATCACATAAATATTCAAACAGCTGTTTGCATGCTCTGCATACAGTTCTTTCTTCCATCTGTTATCCTGACCAAAAAAAAAAGTTTGTCGAATACTTTCAAGATTGGCAGTCCAATCCTAAATGGACTGATAAAAATAAGCTCAGGAATAAATCCAGAGCATGTCAAGGACTGGAAGGGCCTGGTTTTTCATTTTCCTCCAGAATATACCAAATTTATAGTGTTTCTGACCTGGAATTTCTCATGCAAGTTTCTGCATGATTCATTGCTCTGTATATGATTTCAGAAAAAACTGAGAGACACAGCCATCAAAAGGCAGTCAAGTTGTTAATCTTCACACCACCTTTATCGAGATGTGGAAATACACAGCATGACATTACAGTACGACTGTAAGTGACTCGACTTCACAGACTAAAGCAGAACTCCAGGCACCCTCTGTCCATTTTACATTCACAACAATCAAGCATCTATTATAATAAAACTGTAATAAAACTGACAAATTCTAAACTATAAATGTTTTAAAGAAAGTAGCATTTGCTTTGAGGGACTATGCAAGCTGCTGTTGCTGACCTCCTTGTAAATATTAGTTGCCTTGGTGTCTTACTGACCCTCTGGCTTCAATACTTTCTGAGTCATTAACCTGGAATAACGAGTTTAAAATGAAATGAAAAGTTAATTTTCTCTTAAATAAGAGCTTTATTCCATACAAAACTATTTTTTAGTATCTATCAGTAGAGCTGTTTTATATCGACTTCTCCAGGGTGTCACCCATCCTCTGGAACTCCCTGCCCCAACCAATCAGATTATCACCTACTCTCCTCTCCTTTAGGCGCACCCTGAATACCCATCTCTTCAGGGAAGCCTACCCCACCCCCTGCTAACTTGCCAACCTCCTCCACTCTTCCTACCACTCCATCCCCCACAGCTATCTCCTCCTGTGCCACCATCCCCTCCCTCCTAGATTGTAAGCTCGAAAGAGCAGGGCCCTCAATCCCCTCATGTTTTGCATTGTATTGGTATTGTTCTGTCACATGTTCTGTCCCCCTTTGTAATGTACAGCGCTGAGCGAACTATTGGCACTTTATAAAAACTGTATAATAATAATAATATCTCTAAATCTAAGCTTTATAGTGTTACTAAACCCAGGACCCTGCATTCACTATATCTTGCCCTAGGGTCACATCTAGTTGCTTAACCACACCCCAACATTTTTTGAAGAGATTATTTATGTTTCGTTTTTTTTTTTTCATTTGTGTTACTGTGGAATGTTTTTGGCTGTTTAAAGTGTTACTAAACCCAGGTCCCAGCATTCACTCTATCTGGTCTCCCACAGTACACACAACATGGAAGTTCAATTATTTTACTAAATATAAACTGCTAAATGCCTTTTCTCATCAGCATTATATAGCAGTCTTGTGACTTCTATCAATGTCCAGCAGAGCACTGGTTACAACTTGTAGGAGGAGTTTTCATTCTCCTCTGATTGCCCTGTGAGGCTGCTTGATCCCTGCCTCTATGTCCGGTCAGCTCTGATTGGTCCTGTGCCAATCACATGCACCCCCCCAAAAAAAACTTTCTAGCAATACACACCAAACAGAGTATGTGTAGATGTGCCACTACTGCTCTGTACTATATCAGATGGATTGGGGACAGTAAAAGAAGAGGAGGATCAGAGAAGACAGGAATTAACCATCTTTTTACACAATGCAGAGGATTAACTCCGTAGGTTCAACAGTGAGTTTAACAAGCATGCTTTACTTATATATAAAGAAAATGCAGCGCTGTGTAATGTTACTATATTGCGGGCAGATATAAATAATAAATGAAACCAAAGCAAATGAATGAATAAATAAATCAATAAATGAATAAATCACAGTCCAGTAATGGTGCTCGCTGATTCCCAGTGCAAAAGTTAGAAATGCACACTAACCAGAAACGTATTAATAATACGCATTTGTATATGATATCATGGAGACTCCCCTCTCTTTTCTGGTCTGGTAATGGGCAGGAGCTGAAGATAGTAGAGATGAAGAGCCCTCGTGTGGTGAAATGGAGGTCCAGCAGGTCACAGAAATCCTTACAGAAGTGTGTGAAGTGGAAAATTCCTCCTCTCAAAGGCTGGTGCAGGGATCAATCTGGGTCTGCAGAAGCTGAAAAGGCTCATCGCAGAAGACACAGGAAAGAACCCATAGTGTAGTAGGTTGATGAGATCCTCAGCTCTACTTCTGAAGAAGTGCGTGCGCACAAAACGCGTCAGTTGGAGCCCAGGATGCCATTGACACTACGCCGCCGGAGCCACGTGGAGGCCCAGCGGCCATCTTTAATCTTAAAGGGTCAGTCATTTGATTAAACCTGGCACCATTGTGAGTTTTACGCCGGCAAGATGCATTTCTAAATACACAAAATATAATTGGATATTACCAGGTAATACCACCAATGATTGTTGATCCAGGAAATATTTGATTGCCTCCTGGGGGATCAGAAAGGATATTTTTTTCTCTGCGGGGGGCTAATTAGGCCATGCTTCATTGTTTTTTTTTCTTCCTCTGGATCACTTGTGGGTACAGAATTGTGTGTACATGGAGGTTTTTATTATTATTTTTTTTCTATTGATTGAACTAGATGGGCTTGTGTCTTTTTTCAGCCTGGGGTGCCTACCATGAAGAACCTTGTGCAGTTACTTCATGTTTTGGTTTAACTCCCGTAAGTCTCCTAATTGTGCTTTTGCATTGTACCCCTGTTGTATGTGCTTCTTATAGAGACTACAAGCCACCACCCTGAGACACATTGCCTAAGCATAGTCCATTGTTATCACTATCAGTAAACTAGTCCAGAACATTGGGGTGCAGCCAGTGTTGGAGAGAGAAGAAGTGGCTGAAATAGG